ATGTTATCACTTTTAGAAAGTCACATCACAGCTAGGGGAAAGAGCTTCTAATGATCAAATATTCTTTAATAATCTAGTTAAAGATTACAATGATTACATGTGTATAAAAAGGAGTGAACACATACGTAGTTCAAGAGATACAATGATTGTAGTACCTTCTTCTTTAAACAATAAACACCAAAGAACAAGAGTCTCTATTACAATGAACTAAATGTAGCTCTTCAATGAGGTGAACCACTCTACTTCATGTGCATCTTTCATCCGTTTAACTTCACACATTTGATATACTAACTGGACAACTCATTCCCCTCAACACACATCACTCTTCTCAATTTTTTACACCATCAATTGTCCTATCATAAAATATCACTTTTATCCTAAATTTTTTTATTTCAATTAGCGGTGCAACTCGGGTAGGTTGGACAATCAACCCTAACCCAACGCTAGGTATATAATCTTCAACCCTAACTCTAACCCTAATCATACCTCAGGTTGAGGGACTCAACCCAAGTACTACTCGAGTTTAATTCGGACAGGCTTGGGTTAAATTCGGGTTAATGATTTTGGATTGATTTCGAGTTACTTTACAGATTCAATTCGGGTTGAGTTCGGATTGAACTCAAAATAGGGTTGTTGTTCTAAACCTAATGCACTGTCCCACAATCCAACTGCAGCATACATGCTTGCTAGAACCACATAGTTTACTGACTTCTCAGGTTCTATATTATATAGCATAGTTTTAAAACCCGGCCCGGAGATCAACCCAGTGAAGGGACCGAGTCAATGGGCCGCGGGTTCAACCATTGGCTCACGGGTTCAACCGATAATATAATAAAAAATTAAAAAATAATTATAAATAATAATAAATAGGCTAAGAAATTATAATAATTATAAAAATAACATCAAACATGTAAAGTAGGGAAAAATCATCAAACATGGATCCAATTTCAATGTATTCAATTTTCAATACAACTTATAAAGTTAAGTAGAGAAAAATAACTCTATTGAAGTTCAAGGTTCTAAGTCTAAGTCCACCTCTTCAACAATGTATCAATCTAAGCACAAATTTGCACTCTTCAATATTCAAACTTCAAACTCAAATTGTAGTAAACAAGATACATGAAAACAAAACAAAGCACATGAGCATACTCAAAATACAAGAAAATAAATCTGGACTGGAGTTTAAACCTGGACTGAAGACAATACAAGACATTCTGATATATGACATTGAAAATAAATCTAGACTTTAAACTCTCCTCGGTCAGCTCACTACTTCTCATTGACCCCAAAATCTACTTCTTAGTTTGATTTTTAGCACTCAATTAGGGTTTAATTCAACTGGGAAAGAAAGACTCTCTAGGTGTGTGTACTTCGTCTAGGTAGCTTACAAACATGGGGTGTTTTCAGTCCAAAATTGTCCCTAGACCAAGAACCTTCATAACTGGAGTCTAAACCAGATCCGGGTATCTCTCCATTTCTTCACCTATTTGTTAATTGAAATTTCAATTTTGGAATTGGGTATCCCTCCATTTCTTCACTTATTTATGTACATAAATGCATTCACAAGTCTCTGGTCAGTCGACTGGACTGGAATTGCAAAAAAGACAGAAAAAGGGGGAGAGAGAGGGAGAGGGAAACTCACTCGACTGGACTAGAATCGCTGGAGTCGATTGCCTGCTAGTGTTGGAGTGTCACTAGTCACTCGTCTTGTTCTCACAGATTAATCAGTTTTTGACCGGTTCAACGGATTTATCCGGGATTCTTTATTTAAACGGTCTTTTAACAAATCCGGCCCGATTAAGGGACCGGTTCATCAGGTTGACGTGTCGGGTCGGGCCAGGTTTTAAAGCACTGTTAAATAGGTGCTTGGCTGCAATTTCTCCAATAGACAAATTGTCATAGTTACTACATGCCTCAGGAATAGAACTCCAAAGTGAGGCATTAATTCGGGTTGAACCTGAAATCCATTCAAATTAAATTCGAGTTGAGATTTTTTGATTCAAGTCTAACTTAAGTATTAAAAATTTTAACCTAAACCTTAATTTTTTTGGGTTAAACTCGAATTGAAATCGGATTAGTCCGTCCCAGTTACGTCTCTAATTTCAATTGCAATCTTTTTCCACATTTTTTTTTCTGTCTATCGTACAAATGTCAAAAACTCGTTTGGTGTTGATATTTCCAAATAATTCCAAAATAGTCAAGATATTGACGTGCAGTTTGCGTGCACGTAAAGTGTGCTAACGACAATGACGTGAAGAAAAATTAATCAAACCATGTGTTTTGGGGAACGCTATGGGACCGACCGGTCAAAATTCGGTACGGTATCGAAAAAATATATCGTTCTTAATTTTTGTCATTAAATGTTAAAAAATTATTTATTAAAGATGTGATAACTTTGCCAACAAAAATTATACCATTTTTCTAAAGACTGTAATTTCAACCGCTCTTTTTTTGTGGTACTTATACTTTTATTAATTGTAACTTAATCCTAAATATTTATAACTTCATATCTAAAGGTAATAATTTTACCATAAATACTTATAATCGCACTTTTAAAAATTGTTATTTTATTTTTAATTGTTGTAACCTTACCTAAAGAGTTTGTACCTCACTTTTAAAGGTGATAATTTTATCTCAAGAGTAATAATTTTGTCTTTGTAAGTAGTAACATTACATTTAATAGTCATGATCGATTCCAATGCCAATTTTTTTTTTTTTTTTTGCTATTCCACTCAATTAAGATCGATCATGATTAATTAAGATTGATCTCAATGCCAAATTATTATTATTATTTTTTTTTGTGTGATTCCACTCAATTAAGATCGATCATGACTATATGAGCTCGATCTTAATGCATTTGATAGTCCAAAAATTAGGACGAAACTAAATTCTGATGGTTCCAATTAAATAGGATTTAGCCAAAATTTTTTTTTTTTTTTTCTGAATTGGTCCAGATCCTATATTTAGTTACATTAAATTGACATGTAATTTCATAAAATTAATTAACATTTTATGAATTAATTTTAATTTAATGAATTTTAAATTAATGTTAATTTTATGAATTTTTTTTTAACTAGTCTCGATCCTATATTTGGTTAAATTGACATGTAATTTTATAAAATTAATTTTTAATTTTATCTAGTTAACACTCAACTCATCAAAAATAACATTAAATTGACCTTCAATTGTATTAAATTAACATTCAAAATTATAAAATTAAAATTAAAATTAATTTAAAATTCATAAAATTAAAATTAATTCATAAAATGTCAATTTAATGTAATTAAATATAGGATCGGGATCATTTCACAAAAAAAAAAAAAATTCAGCTAGTCGTAATCGATCCTATTTTATTGGAACTACCAGAAATTTAATTTGATCCCAATTTTTGGATCATCAAATGCATTAAAATCTATCTCATATAGTCATGATCGATCTTAATTGAGTAGAATCGCAAAAAAAAAAATTAAAAATAATTTGGCATTGAGATTGATCTTAATTGAGTAAAATCCCAAAAAAAAAAAAAATAGCAATGGAATCGATCTTAATTAATCATGATCGATTATGATTATTAAATGTAATGTTATTATTTGCAAAGATACAATTATTTCTCTTGAGATAAAATTATCACATTTAAAGATGAGGTACAAACTTTTTAAATAAGGTTACAATAATTAAAAGTAAAATTATAATATTTGAAAGTGAAATTATAACTATTTATGGTAAAATTACTATATTTGGATATAAAATTATAATTAATAAAGGTAAAAGTATCATAAACAAATGACGCTGAAATTACAACTTTTAGAAAAAATGGTACAATTTTTATTTGGCAAAATTATCCTGTTTTTAGTGAGTAATTTTTTAGTATTTAATGACAAAATTGAGGATCACATATTTTTTTGATTACCATGCCGAATTTTGATCGGTCGGTACCATAGCCTTCCCCGTGTGTGTTTTTGTGCGTCCTCAATAGACATGATTCCTGTGTGGGAAAGAAGCAAATATTGTCAGTGTACAATGTACGGAAGTTTTATTTATGGCTACTGGCGCCCACAGGTAGCATTTAATTTGTGTGTCAAAAGTTACTCTCCCCTCAACATGGAGATGTAACGGCGGCTCTGTTTTGAAACAAAATAAACTAAAAATATGCCCCACGAATGTTCAATCAGCGAAATATATATTAGGGTTAATTATAAATTATACCCTAAAAGATAGTTTGAATTTTAATTTATACCCTTGAAATTAAAAATCTCAATTTACACTCTCAAAAATAAAAATTTGTATTAATATGTACCCTCAAATATCAAAATTCTCAATTTACACTTTCAAAGATAGAAATTTGTATCAATGTACACCAAAAACTAACCGCCGTCAGTTTGTTGCCTAAAACTAAATCGATAAATTATATTTAAATCTCCTCACACTTGTCACTTAATCATTTGCACTCTTTCACAAAATAAAGGGATAAAAATTATAATTTTTTATTAAGATAAAATTATATTTTTTATCAGTTATATTAACAGATATCAACGAAAATAGATTACGTGTTACAATGCACAAATGTCATGAGATATAGGAGTAATATTCTAAATGTGAAGGGATCTAAATGATTAAGTGACAAATATCATGAGATATAGGAGTAATATTCTAAATGTGAAGGGATCTAAATGATTAAGTGACAAGTATAAGGAGATCTATGTATAATTTATCAATTTAATTTTAAGTATTAAACTGACGCGCGGTCAGTTTTAAGTGTACATTAATATAAATTTCTAGGGTACAAATTAATATTTTTGATTTTTGAGATTACAAGTTAATACAAATTTTTATATTTGAAAATATAAATTAAAATTTTTTATTTTTAAGGGCACAAATTAATATTCGAACGATCTTCCAAAATACAATTTAAATTACCCCTGTATATTAATATCGGTACTAGGTAGAGTAAAAGACATATCATATGTTCCATGAATAATCAATGTGATGTGATTAGGTATATTTATTTGGCGAATGGCGATGCTTGTTCTTATTTATTGCATTGTTCTTATTTGTTTGGCTCTGCAACAAGAACAACAGGGGGATTCACTTGGTAAAACTGTAATCCAACTGAGGCTTTTGGAGCGAGCTTAAAGGGGCAAATTCTCATTTTGGAAGGTGCATTCCTGCTGACTTTTTTTGCCCCTCTTTTGTGTTTCGTTGAATAATTTCAGAATTCCGTTTTGAAATCCTGATTCCTTTTCATGCTTGTATAAACTTTTATTGAATGAAATCAACAATTATGATCATAGCACTAATTTGGCAATCCTTTTGATTGGCAATAAGCTAATGTATAGAGCACTCTGGCCTTTGTAGATCTCGTAGGAGAGATTCTTTTCTTTCCACAGGGCATTTATTTTTCAGTTGAAACAAGGGCCAAAATTTTATTTGGAAAGTTGTTCCTGTCGGTTAGGAAATGGAAATGTTTTCGAAAACAGACTGGAATCGGGAAAAGAATTCTAGAATTTGCTTTTAAAACATTCTGAAACAAAGGTCAACATATCTCAAAACACCTCGGAACATAGAAATTTCGGTATTCCATGTTGATTTGTATCGGTTTTCATGGTAATGGAAATGTTTCAGCTATTTTGAAACAAAATTTTGATTCTTCGAGTTGAAAATCAAATCATGAAGTGAGTCCTTGCAAGGCACTTGGAGCAATCGGTACTTATCTATATTTCTGAGCCCTTTCAGTTCATGCTGATATTTGTATTTTCTGAGTACTCGGACAATGTTAGCAGTTAGCTACTTCTAATATTTAGTGTATCCTTCATTTTTATGGAGACAAAGAACTGCCTCAGTTTTCTAACTTGTTATAATATAAACTTGTAATTGGCATGATTATTCGTATATCATGCGCCTGGGTCTAACCAACAAGGAAGTTGAACTTTGAGCTTGAGGTCGTAATTCTGAGGTATTCACATCCGAGTTACTCAAATTATTTAATATGTAGGGTATTGCCTAGATGTCCAGCTTTTTGTGAATGGGCTGGCCTACCTTTGTAGAAAAACATGTCATTCTCATTCTCTTTTTCCACAAACACTTCAGTGTGTATTTCTCTACATACAGTGTCAAGAATATTGTCCATTGTCTGGCAAATGGTTGAAGTGTCAGGCTAAAAACCATGGTTGTGGCTTTTTTAAGGGCATCCAATTTGTATGAAAAAATGTTAAACATTAGGTCTGTACCCAACCTATTACTCGCATCACCCTCATGAAATGGGGATCAACTAGATAATGATGTTTTTATTTCTCTCAAAATCTTCTTTATTTGATTATGTAGATGAGAGATCAGAGCCTTGTATACACTTTGGATGAAGCACTTTCTACGATTAGGTTTGGGAAATTCCAGGGTCTTGTGCTTGCGTATGCTGGATTAGGTTGGACTACAGAAGCCATGGAAGTGATGATTCTCTCTTTTGTAGGACCAACTGTTCAGTCTGTGTGGGGACTCTCTTCTAGTGAAGAGAGCATGATAACAACTGTAGTCTTTGCTGGCATGCTGATTGGGGCATTCTTGTGGGGTTTTGTATCAGATACATATGGAAGGAAGTAAGGCCTTTTACAATTTCCTCATCTTGCATGTCTTCTTTGATTTTAATGTACACGCTTTCGTATATAGATGAAGGTCTGGAATGTTAAGCAATTGCATCCCATGTGTTTTATTTAGAAGTTACAGTCATGTTGAAATTACTTTTTGCTTGAAGTGGTAACTATTATGATGCTCAAGTTTTAGTTCTCAAACACTAGAGGCTAATTGGAAATTATGCTTAGTTTTTAGCTGTCACACACTTAACTTCAACACCTTGTTTCATGGGAGACAATGTTAAATTTTTTACTCTGTCTGTCTCCTTTGGAAGTTAATTATAAGCACAATAACTTTGTGCCACTGAGGGACTTGTTCAAAATCATTATTTTTATAGATGGGACATTGGAAGCATTAAGCTTTTCAATTCGAGTCTTAGGAACAGATCCTTCTGTTTTTTGTGTAACTTCCAAAAGTTTACTTGATATGGCATCAAAGCTACCTTGTCATCCACATTCTAGATCTACAATGACTTTTCTAGTAAAGTGTGTCATGTAATCATGCAACGACTCTCCCCACCCGTACTTAAGGTTTTGTAGGTAGGTTGTTGGCTTTCTGTGAGTTCGCCCTCCAACGAAATGGGAAAGGAAGGACTTACTTAATTCAAAAAACGAACTAATGAAACTTCATGGGAGTCTGTTGAACCAGGGTCAAGTTGTTCCCTTAAGAGTTGTGGAAAATGCTCAACACATCATTTGGTCTGAAACGTTATAAATGAGCATAAGAGGCTTATTAGTCTCCAGATGATCCAAAGGGTCGTTCTTTCCATCAAATCTGTTTATTATAGACAGCTTAAACTTGGGAGTGTGAAAAAAAGGACTCCATGTGTTGGACTAGGGTTTTCACTATTTCAGGAATTTGGCATTCACTGTATTGAGTACATCTCCGATGCGATCATTGACTTTTCTAAACTTTCAGTTTAGAGATTTATCTTTTTCCCGTTGGTGAGGGGTGTGGCTATGCTCATCTCCAGTGTCCTCGCCTGATCACACTAGGTTTTTCCTAAATTGGAGGCAATTGAATGATTTGCTAGGTTTGCTGGGCCAAACCCTCCATGGTTGGGTTCATCCTATCGTCATTTCTTTCCAGGTTAAGCATTGTCTAAGTTTCGTGCTGCATATTAATTCAAGTGGGATCTCTGTCATGATTATCCCCTTTTGATTGCTCTTGAGAATGGTGCCCCCCAGGGGTTATTGTCTTCAGTAGCCTCTATCGATCTGGTAGTTACCATTTAGAATTCTCCACTTAAGGAAAATTGTGAGAACAAAAAGAATTTCTCATCGTTCCAACAAACAACGTCAAATTGTTGATGCAGAATTTATAACAATCTGCACATCAGCTAGCGGAGCTAGGCCTCGGCAAAAAGCCCAATGGGCCACCCCGCCCGTAATCATGGCAGGTCATGGGCAGCCCATTAGCCCAACGGGTAAGGCCTGGGCTATTTTTTGGGCTGGGACCCCAATGGACTGGCTTGTCAAGAAGCCCAGTAGGCTGGTCCACTGGATGGCCGTTAACCCAGCCAATCATAGTTGTTTTGCTGATTTGATATTTAATTTGTAATTTTTAAAGAGCTGAGACTTAAAAATGATTGATAATTGTGTAGGTGTCAAACTAATTGGAATGTACTCAATTTATAGTGATGCAAAATAGTCTCATTCATCAATTAATGTAGCATTGTAATTATTGATGAATATTTGTTAAATTCAATTAATACGAATAAAGTTTTTTTAATTTTTTTTATATCCAACTTTATGACTTTATTTTTATTTTTTGTAATTTTTACATAAATGGTTATTTTTAAAAAGAACCCGTTTCAAGCCCAAATAGCGGCCCATAAGGCTCCATCATTGACTAAATGGCTTAGTAAAGTAGGGACTAGATCCGGTCCTTGTTTAGCTCACTCTTTGGCACAATAGGGCGGGCCATGGGCCTTAAATTTTTTTAATGATCAGGCCCAACCCAGCTTGGCCCAGGGGCAAGCTATGAGCTAAAAAACCATGGGCTAGGGCAGCCCGGCTCATTGCCGAGACCTAGGCAGAGCTCTGATCACCTGGAAAAGAAGTCGGAGACTAGAGGTAGAGCTCTGGGGTCAACTCTCCAATACTTAAGTTAGTATTCTATAAGAAAAATGGAGAGTGACTTTTAGAGTGGTTGTTGCATACCTCTTGTGTGTGTTCCCCGAACTCTATTTATAAATATTAGGATTAGCTTCCCTCCAGGAGCGGACTCTAGGCTTCCTAACGGTTTGTTGGTAGGATAAGACTCCCCTTGATTGAGGACTCTTTGACTCCATCTTCTGCTGATAAGGAGGGCAAGACTCCTCTTTGGTGAAGGGTCTTAGCCTCCTTATCTCTCCACCAAGATGATGCTTATTGCCTTTTTTTTTTAACAGAATTCATTTGCGCCTTTTTTTTTTTTAACAGGATTCATTTGCTTTTTGAATTGCTTCAAATCTTATTTGCTGATCCTTTATCAAAGCTCAGCCATGTGGTACAGAGCTGATTACCCGGCTGGGTGTAGCTCAAAACTCTTTCTTTCCATGTTTGAGGTCTGCAGCTCTTCCAACTGCACTCTTTGGGCAGTGTTCTTTATGTCGAAGCTTTTCCCAAGGTGTTTCTTTACTGAGCTGGTTTTTTCCTCATAAAATTTCACTGAATTGATTCTCTGAATTGCCCGAAACTAGAGGTGTCTTCCCCTGGTTTGCTCAATTTTCATATGCATCAATCTAATCTACTCTTCTTCAAGACTTTTGGATTGTATGGCCCGAAAGTACCTTTAGGTGTCCATGACTACATTGTTTGAGGTGTTCAATGATCCACTAATATAAATGCTAGGCCATAACTTTCAAGGGTCGACTCATGTAAATACATTTTGTGAGGTTTGAAGCTTAATAAGGCCATTTTAAAGTCCATGGCCAAGCATCACTGGGTCTATGCAGAATTTGTAGGATAGCAACATATGATTTAGTGCTTTGTCTAGGATCTAATGCGAAGAGTTTTCAAAAATACGATTTGAAAAATTTTACATCAATGAACTTTACACCACAAGGTTGGATGTGACCATAGTTATCAAATCGTGTATCGGAAGGCGTATCATTTTTTAAAAATAGTGTATCGTATCGTGTATCGTAAGATACGGTGCAATTTTAAATAAATAATAAAAAAATATATATACCTTTGAAAAAAAATCATACATTTATAAAAATATAGCATTTCATTCATATTTCACCACCTATTCAAGTCATCAACATAGTTTACTAATATTATAATGCAAAGTTTACAACCATAGTTCACTAATTCAAACTTCAAATCTCAAAGAGACTTTTAATCCAAATTTCTAACATCTATTTTGAACTCAATCCATAAAATTAATCAAGATTCAGAAATTTTTATACAAAAAAAAAATTAGTGTCTTATTTAAACAAAACGACGTCGTTTCAGGAAGAAAAAAAAAAAAAAAAACAGGTTTTGCGCGTATCGGTCGTATCGTACCGATACGTATCGTATCGTATCGTAAAAACGTATCGTGTATCGGATGATACGGTACAAAAACGATACATAACTACGATCCGTATCGTTTTACCTCCGTATCGTAACGTATCGTACAATACGTATCCCGTATCGTACGATACTAACAACTATGGATGTAACATAAAGTTGAAAATGAGGTCCAGATAAGATGCTGGTTTATATTTAGTAATTAGTACCAAAGATTACCCGGTGGAAAAAAATGCCACTGCAGAACTGCTGAGAGTTTATGAGATGGCCAGTGTTGTTGTCAAGAATTGACTTTGATTCTATGGATAGAACTAATGGAACAGTGGAAATTTCTTATAGCATATGAGTTTCAAAAGAGGGATATGATATGTGGTTTTGTATAACTGTTTATTACGGTAGGGACTGTGTTGAGGTCCAAATGTTGCAAGACTTGTATATGAAAATAAGTCATAACAAGAAGTTAATATTTTAAATATGGGCGTTATTGAGTAGGGGATTCAAGTGGCACAGCCTTCTTGCCGCTGCTTACTACTTCTAATGTTCATGATTTGGATGAAGGTTTATTTCTACTGAAGAGTTAGTTGGGATACAAAAGGATGGAAGTACAATATTGATACTTTACTGAAAATTCAGAAGATGATATCATGCAAAGAGGATCATGTTAATGTGACTTGTAAGTTTTAGAAAGGTTCTCTGGGAAAAACAAAGGTTACTCTCCAATCCTACATTTTTCTCAACAGAAGAACTCCCCCCTGAAAAACAAAGGTTCTCTGGGAAAAGAGATATAAACAAGTTACAGCTCATTTGATCTTCTTTTCACTTTGGCCAAGGGATCCGTTTGTGCCATATTGGTCCTAGGTAGGTTTAGATAATTAGGCAAGCAAAGAATAATTTACTCAAATGTGCATGGGAAGTTGAGTCTGCCAAAAACTGCCAAGGAAATCAAAGTAGCAACGCTAGTGATGGTCTTATCTGGTACACTATCATATGAGGCACAAGGGACACCCACTTCATTGAAAGGTAATAGCTTGGAGATAAAGTATATCAAGACATGTTCAGGGCAACCCCTTTGTTGAACTTTAGATGAGGTTAAACTTGTTCTTTATCAATCCTTCCAAACACCTCATTTTAATCGAACCAACCTAGGTGATGCCTTTTGTCATACATTAAAGAGAGCAGCATCTTGGCTCAATATCTGAAAACTTCCACAAATAGCCCCTCCTTGAAGTGTCACAAAATTTGTCACATAAAGCCTAATAACTATGATCAATAAGAATGGTTGGACTGTGCAAGAATTTTTTGTCAATCAGGAGTTGGTGCTTCAATATGATGTACAATAGCTGATTTTTATGGTCATATATTTATCCCTAGTTTCTCCTGAAAATCTACAAACATTAATTGTATTCTGAACATATTCCATTATCCTTTTATTGAGTTCATGTAGTAATGAATTTTATTAAGCTGGTTCTTAAGTTTCCATTTGCAGTAATTTTCGTTCACTCTAAAATCTAAATCATTCAAAGGAACAAAGCTCACCATTACAACGAGACCTAAGCTGCCTTTCAGGTAATGTTGGGCCCCTATTGTTGCGCATGGTCCTATTTTGCATCATGTATTCAGAAATTGATAAATGGTTGTTCTGATTGAAAAATGCCATACAAACTGTAAGCTGACATAGCTGATAGAAGTTTTGCCCCCATAAATCAAGACTGGTAGGAAGGGAGGTTTGGTAAAACCTAACCCCTGGCATGTTTTTGTACAAAGTTACTACCCACAAATTCGAACCATATTCTAGTGACTGTTTGCCTGAATTTTTAATATTTCACCAGACAATGGTCTCTGCATATATTCTAAGTTTCATTTTGCTTAGATATCCGACCTTGTAAGGTTCAATTCTATTTGACCCTATTCTAATCAACTTTTGACCCAGTAGTAGTATCTTTTACTTCAATGAAAAAAGAGAATTAATATATAAGCCTCTTTGGATTATAATGCTAAATTTGCGTTAGAATTAGAAAATATTGTTTGTCTAGACTTGCTGGCATTTAAATACAATATTTGGTGATGGACCATGGGCACATTTTTCTTCATCGTTTCTATCTACTTTGCTTGAACTTAATACATATTCACTTCTGTTTGCCCTTTCCAGGAAGAGTTTCTTGGGTGCAACTATATTATCGACTGGAGCTGGGTTTTTAAGTGCTTTCTCGCCAAATTACATAGTGCTGCTGATTCTTCGTTGTTTGGTTGGTATTGGTCTTGGTGGTGGGCATGTATTCACAACATGGTTTTTAGAGTTTGTTCCATCGCCAAACAGAGGCACTTGGATGATCATCTTTTCAAGTTTTTGGACGCTTGGAACAATTTTTGAGGCTTCACTAGCATGGGTATGTGATGTTACTTCAATTACATATCTATTATAATACCAAGGGCTGTATTGTTGCCATTATATCTTATCCCACATCGGTAAATAACACCTCCCAAACTAGTATTTGAGTGGGCTTCTCAACTTCCTTCCAAATGACTTTTTTTGGATGCTTTAACTTGGTATCAGAACTAGGCTTCAAGAGGTTTTGGATAAAATTTGCAGTTGCAATTTCCTTAATTTCATAATTTATTCTTCCTTTTCGGAAAAAAAAAAAATTATCACAATTGGTTCATTATTCAAGCAACTAGCAGATATGTATACTTCAACACATAGTTATTCTGCTTTTGTTTGTTTTAAATCCAAGTTGGTGTGAGATCCTCCCCATCAACTAGAGGGGCCATGTAAGAGGGTAACAATTGTAGTTCGCCATATGTATCCTTGTAACTTCACTAAAAATGATAAGGCTAGTCCTAATCAGGTTGATTGAGGCTGTCACTAATCTTGCCAGAATCTTTTCACAGTATCATATACTTCCACACTAGCATTTAGTCATCCACTCTATCCATGCAATGGAATGTAGAAGTAATGGAGAACAAGAAACAAGTGGTTGTACATTGTGAAGGTGTCTTAGGTAGTGACTAGGATAGGACTACTTATTAAATTGTCGCTTTAGCTCTGGTATGTGGTTCTCATTGGTGAATTTTAAAATACATTATCTGTCTAAGGGAAATTTGGTTGTTTGAACCAAACTCACTTTAATACGCAAGTTCAATTTAAGTTCAGATATGAGTGACCACAATTAACCTTGGTTACGCTCAGTTAGGCACAAAAACAACAACGATGTTTGTACCAACTACCAATCTAGTCTACTAGGGCTAGTCGACTGGTTCATAACCATAAGTCCTATAAAGATAGGGAAAACACTCAATGTAGGTGAGGCTAAACTCCTCAGATTGGTTCTGTTTCTAATGTGAATGTTATAGTGTAAGTCCACCAATGTCATCGGATACCTCGAAGAAAATTGTCATGTTAAGCCTTTGGAGGATCCTATGATATTTCCTAATTACTAAAGCTACACCATCCCTGAGGTGTTGCTAAAGATATTACTTGTACTATGTTTCTAGTGATATTTTTGTTAGAGCATCAACTCAAAATCAATTGGCAATGAATGGAGATGTCACTTAAGTTTATAAATCAAATTTAGTTGTCTTAATTATTTGATATGAGATACAAACTCTCCAAGTACCTTCCCGCACTTGGGACCCGGGGTCACACTCGGGGTCAACAAACCAACAAACAAATAATCATTAGACCATAAAATTCAATTAGATAAGAAACTTAGCCCTCTGACCACCCAAGGCATAGCTTTGATATCATATTAGAGCATCAAACCCAAAACAAATTGGTAATGAGGGAAGTGACCCCTTAAGTATATAAACCAACTTTGGTAGTCCTAATTATTCGATGTGGGATACAAGCTCTCTAAACAGTATCTCTCCTCTAGACCTAAGGAAATGTTTGTCCTCATTAAGACATGTTATCTATGTTGAGATTAAAGGACTTGGTTATGGAGTTTTCTCAATTTTTCAAACTTACGACAATTTTGAGACTCTTATGAAAAAGATAAAGCTTTGATTATAAAACTGTCTAGGCACACCTTTTCTGATACCAGTAGCGAAGTCCTAGAGGCCCAGAGGGGGGGGGAATAGGACGACTTCTAAAATTTTTGCTTTAGCTTAGGTTTATGATCCTCTTTGGTCACTTTTGAAACTACTTATTTAACTAAGGGTATATTGGTCAATAATGCAACAAATTAAATGAACTTATAATGAGTGTTCAATCCAAGTAATGTGATCTTTTAGACTTAGTGGCTTGAACTCATAGGGAGGGTGAAATGAGGCACAAGTTTCCAAATATTTGTAAGGTGTGTTTGTTTGTTATTACGATAGAGTTGGACCATGTTTTCCATCAAAATCCATCTAAACAAATTAATGTAGCATATACATAAGTGTGTGCGTGTGTGTACGGAATTGCATTGACTAGTAACAACTAGTTTTTTAAACTGTCAGCCTCCAGTTTACTTGATTACGTTCAATCGACTAACCTAGTCGACTGGCTCAAATCCAGTCAACTATCTGTGTTCCAGATGCTGCTTTAACTGCTGCAATGAAGTCTTCAACTCTCTTGGGATTTGTACTGGCTTTTTGAATGATGTTTGCTAGTTTTACTCATATCTAAGCACTAAGTCATAAAATTGCCAACATAAGGTGATAGATTAAGACATAGGAAAATGAAGATGCTAACCATGTATTGTTAAAATATGTAGCAATATGTATAATCATATAAATTTCAAACAATTATGTTCAGTCAACATCAGGAACGTCTGTACAAAACAAATACGCGGTTCATACATTATAAAAAATGACACCAGATTTAGTCCACATTAATGAGGGTCTGAGAGGGTTGATCGAGTGCATACCTAACCTTGTACAAAGTGATTGCCCTCAGCTTTGAACCCACAATTTCAAGGTTATTAGGCCGAATTTTAACCGCAGAACCAGTGACTCCTTGTTACATCGTATATCATAAATTTTTCATAGGAACAACTTCCCCTTATTTGAATATAACAGTTTGTCATTTATGTTAGAACTTTTTGTTCCTTATGTTACACAACACATGGTGGGAGATAAGATAGTCTCCAAGTACAATTAAATTGATTCTTACCTCAGCATGTGTGCTATGTCAATTTGTTTTTGAAGATGCCTAGAATGCTGTAGGTTTGGGTTAAAACACTTTATAGTTCTAGTAAAGAAGTTGCACCTTCACCAGAAGAGAGTTTGTTCCCTTCGTTGGATTACTTACCTTTAATTCCATTGAAGGTGGCAAAGAAAAAAGGCCTCTCTAAACAGGAGACACTAGTCTTACAATTGCATTTACTGGTTTTCGTTGTATATGGCTAAACAATTTAGCTGAATTTTCTTGAGAAGTAACCACTCAACTTTCATATATATGGTTTTTTGGTCGTCAACCAATACATATACACATGATAAAAAGTGCGAAAGGGAAGTTCATCCACTTCTGGATTTCCACATAGTTTTTAAGTGCAGAAGTTCTAATCATTTGGAGTATCACATACTTTACGATTGTTTTTCCTGTTGGCAAGACTTGAAGTAGAATTTTTACTATTTTTCCTTTTTTTATGGCAGATAGTCATGCCAGGATTGGGTTGGAGGTGGCTGCTTGCTCTGTCTTCTTTACCATCTTTTGTTGTCCTTCTTTTGTATGGCTGTACACCAGAGTCTCCTAGGTATCTATGTGCGAAAGGAAGAACAAGTGAAGCACATGATGTTCTGGAGAAAGCCGCAAGACTCAATCAAACAGAACTTCCTCCTGGCAGGCTTGTTTCTGATAGTATAATGGATCTGAATGACGATTTTGCTTCACCTGCAAGTACCCATTTACTCTCCTCATTCAGAAAGAAAACCCAGGATTCTGAAACTAGCCCCTCATCATTGTTTATACTTTTTTCACCAAAATTAATTAGAACGACATTTCTTCTTTGGTTTTTATACTTTGCCAATACATTCTCATATTATGGCATCATATTGCTAACTTCCCAGCTGAGCAGTGGGCATAATGAATGTACCTCAATCCCTATGCTTTTAAAGAATAATGGGGATGCTGACCTCTATGTTGATGTATTTATCACTAGTCTTGCAGGTATTGTAGGTTTCAATTTACCTTTTCATTGTGTTTTTGTTTCAATAATTTGGACAACTCTGTGATCATATTTTTTTCTGCCTTTCTTAATTTTACCCAATGAACATTATTTGACATGACTTTATTTGCAGAGATTCCTGGCCTTGTTTTATCAGCATTTATTGTGGACAGAGTGGGTCGCAAGCTCTCCATGGCAATTATGTTTGCGTTTGGTTTCGTTTTACTTCTACCATTGGTTATCCATCAGCAAGAGACTTTGACCACAACATCGTTATTTGGAGCTCGCATGTTCGTTTCAGCAACCTTCATAGTTGCCTGTATTTATGCCCCTGAGGTACACGTCTTTATTTCAAGTTGATGTGTTTTGAAATTTATTTTACCTGCCTTTATAATGGTCACCTCTTACTTCCGATGATAACACAAGACTCCTTGGCATTTGAGAAATGATAGGAAGACTCCCTAACAGTTTTTAAGTGAATGCCATAAATGAAATGACCATTTTATCAGCATTTGACTCCGCTAAACAATTACAAATATCAATGAATGTGAACTATAAGACTTCAAACTTAGACCTTCTGATGTCAGCACAAAGGGAGTGCCTATGTTATAAAATAAAACTCAAGGGGTCCCTTTCCATTTTTCAAATTTTAGGGAATCTCTGTTGTTTTTCCAAAACATTGGGAATCTCAGTATACTGCACCTTATATATATTTTCCTTGTGCCATTTGATGAGTCCAAATCCAACTGGGTCAGGCCCAACTAATGAGATAAGCCTAAATTAGTTACAAAGCAAGTCCAGCTTAGCTCATGGTTCAGCCCAGTCCAAGATTCAAGGAATTCAAAAAGATTAGTGTACGTGGAGAACAATCATCGGGATAGCTACTCTCCTTGAGGAAGACAATTGTACTTATTATTCGCTGTAGCTATCCTCTTCGATAGATTAGTCACCTATCCCATCACGCCACCGCCTCAACCAAAGCTCTGTGCCTATAAATTGTAAGTCCTCTACACATGAGAGACACACCTTTTACACACCTGCATCTCTCTACACACCCTCTACACAACTATCTTTCTCATAGCTACTCTGAGCTTCCCATTGCGCTCTCTCTCTCTTATACCCTCAACTTTATTAATAAAGTTTTATGATCACCGTTGTCGCCTTTGAAGTGGAGTAGGTCACCTTGACTGAACCACTATGTATCTGTGTTGACCCAATCTCTGTTTCCTTCATTAATTACCTTATTGATTGTTTCATTAATTATTTTGCATCATACACTCGACTGTTGATTGTGCATAAGCCTATTTTATGTATCATCAGTTTAGCGCCGTCTGTGGGAACGACTAAGTTTTCTACCACCTTGCAACTTTTTTTTGAATCAATGGCAATTACAACCAGATCGATGAACCAACAACCTGAAGACAATGACCCAGCTTGTCGAGAGGAGGCCCCGCCTCCGCCTCCACCAGTGTAACCGTCCACTGCGGCGAATCCTGTGGTCGGGCAACAACTGTTGGAGACTATGTAGTTACTGATGAGTCAAAACTAGCAAATTCTCCAATTGATGTTTGCCTCAAGAGACGTCGTCTCTCAACTAGCAAGAGGAGCACCACTCCCTCCAATAGGAGAGGTACCACAACCTCCCCACTCTAGGCACCAAGGCGTCCCCCCAGCGTGGCACCCAGCACCAAGGAGTTCCCCCACAGCATGCTGGCACCTCACATGCTCCCCCTCCTTATGTACATGCTTTATATGTTGTCGACCATCCTAGGCAGAAAGATGAAGGGGAGAACTAGTATGCGGATCATGAAAGCTACTACAATGATCTAACAAATGATGTCCTTAACCAATGGGACGAGAAGATTAAGGAGATGTAAAACCAACTTGGTGATGATCTCAATGCCATCAAAGCATAGGCGCCAAAGACAGCGGATTATCTAGTAAGGCGTACTGACACTCTGTTTGTGGCGGATGTGAACTACCCTTTACCTTCAAAGTTTAAGATGCTTGTCATTGAGATCTTTGATGCACCAAAGATTCGCTCGACCATCTTTACACGTACAAATCTCTCATGTAGCTCCACAATGTTTCAAATGAGATTATGTGCAGAGCCTTCCCTACCACCTTGAAAGGATTTGCACGACAATAGTTTGCAAAGCTCAAACCCTCTTCTATCCATTTCTTCACAGAGCTTAGCAAATTCGTCGTTTCCCACTTCATTGGGGGACGCCGCCATCAGAAGTTGGCTACCCACTTGCTCACCATCAAGCAGGACCGGGATGAAAGTCTTAGAAGATTTGTCATTCGTTTTAACAAGGAAGCTCTCTAGATCGAGGAGCCAGACGATAAGGTAACTATGACCGCCTTTATTGTATGTCTATGCTCTTTCAGTTTTATGTTCTCTATCCTAAAGAAGTCGTCGTCCAGCATATCTGAGCTGCTATCAAGGGCACAAAAATACTTAAATGTTGAAGATGTCACCAAGGCCAGACGAGGTAAGCCTTCTCGAGGAGGTGAGAAAAGGAAGGATACCCACGAGAACAAGCGGGAAGCAGAGAACAAGAGGAAGATGACATAAAGGATCTCTGTCAAGGACTGCCTTGGTCCCACACCTCGAGGGAGTGGCAAGCCTTTATGCCGCTTAATTCCTCAGTGAGTACATCCTGTTCCAGATACAGGATGATCCTACACTATGATGGACAGGAAAGATGAAGTCTGCTCCAAATCGTAGGAATCCCATCAAATATTATCGCTTCCATCGTGACTATGGTCACGACACTGATGACTACTTCAAGCTAAAGAAGCAAATCGAGGAGCTTATTCAGTGCGTTCATTACGACAGGTTGTTGCTGGCAGAGGATAGACCCCGTCGCCTAATAGGAATTAAGAGGACAGAGAGTGCCAGCAACCTCTTGAAGAAATCCAGACAATCTTTAGAGGGTTAGGAGGAGGGGGTGACTCTAACTCCTCTGCCAGGAAAACCCACACCAGGATAGCCAGACATGCAAAGTCACATAACTCTTGCCCTATGAAGACACGGAGAAGAAGAGGTTATTACCTTTTCGGACAAGGACCTCATGGGAATCCAAGTCCCTCATGATGATCCCCTCATCTTAACCATGATGGTAGCCAACTACCAGGTTAAGAGGATTTTGGTCGACAGTGGCAGTTCAATCGATATCCTGTTCGCACCGGTCTATGATAGCCTTTACCTTGGCAAAGAGAGATTACAACCCGTTAGGACTCCCCTTATTGGCTTCTCAGGTGAGAGAGTTTATTCCTTGGGTTCCGGCACCGTGCCAGTCACAATAGGGACAGCGCCAAGAAGTTCCACCATCATGGTGAACTTCATAGTACTAGACTGTTCCTCTACCTGTAATATTATTCTTTGATGCCCTGCACTCAACACCCTACGGGCAGTGCCATCCACCTACCACCCACTCCTTTGTTTCCCAACCCTTAGTGGGATCGGAGAAGTCAGAGGAAACCAGGTCTCTGCCCAGGAATGCTACATGGCCTCTATGAGGACTAGAAGGCCACAAGAGACTCTCCAAGTCGAAGTACTTGACCCGTGGGATGACAGAACCCTAGAAAGAGGGGAGGGGAGCCAGTAGAAGAGCTTCAACCAGTAGAGTTAGATGAGAGCCTTCCAGAGAGGAGAATCTATATTGGCTCCTCACTTTCTTAGAAACAAGCATCCCACCTAGTAAACTTCCTCAGGCGAAACATGGATGTCTTTGCCTGATCCCACGAAGACTTGGAGGGCATCAATCCCGAAGTGGCCACCCACTGGCTCAATGTGGATCTCAGGTACAAACCTATGTGCCAAAAGTTGAGGAATATAAGCGCCAAGACAGGCCAGGCTACGGAAAAAGAAGTGGAGAAGCTATTGGCAAAGGGGTCAGTAAGGGAGGTAACTTATCCGGATTGGCTATCAAACGTGGAGATGGTGACAAAAGTCAATAGGAAGTGGCTCCTCTGTGTAGACTTACAGAGCTCAATAAAGCCTGTCCCAATGATAGTTATCCCCTGCCGCACATCAACATCCTTATTGATGCCACTGCGAGATACGAGTTTCTAAGCTTTTTGGATGCTTACTTTGGGTACAACCAGATTAGCGTGTTTTCTCCTAACTAGGAGAAAACCTCCTTCATCACTCTGAAAGGCACCTATTGCTACAAGGTTATGCCTCTTGGACTCAAGAATGTCAGAGCCACATACTAACGCCTCGTGAACAAAATGTTCGAGGCTTAGATTGAGAAGACTATAGAGGTCTATGTAGACGAAATGTTGGTAAAGAGCATGGCTACAACAAATCATGTGACACGTCTACGGGAGACCTTTGATATCCTGAAAGCCTACAAGATGAAGTTGAACCTTGAAAAGTGCGCTTTCGGCGTTAGTTCAAGGAAATTCTTTGGTTTCATGGTTAACAAAAGGAGTATTGAGGCCAACCCAGACAATATTAGAGCTATCTTGGACATGAATTCCCCAGTCTCTGTGAAGGAGGTCCAGCTCCTTAATGGGAGGATAGCAGCCCTCAGCAGGTTTGTCTCAAAATCAGCAGACAAGTGTCTGCCTTTCTTCAAGATCCTCTGCAAAGCTTTCCAGTGAGGACTAGACGCAGAGGAGGCCTTCCAAAAGTTAAAGACCTACCTCGTCACATCTCTTTTGCTCTCCCATGCCATACCAGGAGAGACACTATATATTTACCTCTCTACCTCGTCCACTACTGTGAGCTCTGCCTTGTTAGGGAGGATGGAGGAGTTTAAAAGCCTGTGTACTATGGAAGTAGGGCATACCAAGGAGCGGATGTGAGATACTCAGAACTAGAAAAGTTGGCCCTTGCACTTGTCACCATTGCCAGGCGACTATGCCACTACTTCCAGAGTTATACCATCGTAGTTGCTATAGATCAACCACTCAAGAGAATCCTAGGAAAGCCAAACATGTCTGGTCAACTCCTCAAATGGGCCGTCAAGTTGAGCGAGTTCGACCTACAATACCTGCCAAGGGCGGCCATAAAGGTGCAAGCAATTGCAAACTTTGTAGCTAGATGGATCTACACTGCCAAAATAATCACAGGAAGAACCACTATGCGCCCTTGCGCTCACCAGCCCTATACACAATGAGGCAAACTTGGACACTATCCCTAAAAAACTTGACATCTTGGAAACAACTTATATGGCCCCTGAAGACTAAACTCCGAGGGAAATCTCTAGCTCCCTTATATCTACTCCTTTGGAGCTCTTAGAGCCCTCTCTACACATGCCTCGTCCTGTTGTACTCTTGCCTAAGTGCCCTGCTATGCCTAAGTAGGCATCCCCTACTTGTACTATCCCTTGTTGGAGATTATATATTGATGGGTCCTCCACTAGCAAAGGCGACGGCGCAAGGCTGGTATAAAGCTTGCGATCGAGATGGAAGCCCTCTGCCTAACGGCTCATAGTGATTCCCAGTTGGTGGTCAACTAGGTAAGAGGAGATTTTGAAGCGAAGTAGGAAAGGATGCAAGAATACTTGTCAGTGGTCTAAGCCTTATTAAAAAAGTTTAACCACTTCCAGATCCACCACGTGCTTAGAGAGGAGAACACCATGGCAGATGCCCTCGCCAAGTTCGCATCCACAAACATACTCATGGGCCCAGTATTGACAGGCTACTAGTTTTTTCAAGCAAGTTCAAGGCAGAAGAGGACGATGTTAACTGTGCATCCTCAAAAGCTAATTGGATGACTGACTCCTATCTGAGCCGACCTAGAGGAAGGTGCTCTCCCACCAACTCTAGTGGAAGCCAAAAAGATAAGAACGAGAGCATCTAGGTACGTCATCTTATGTGACACTCTCTACAAGAGAAGTTATTCACTATCACTACTCTGCCATCTCACCCCTGAGGAAGTTGATTATGTCATGAGGAAAATCTAAAAAGATACGTAGAAATCACTTAGGAGGGCATGCATTGGCCTACAAAACAGTAAGGTAAGGCTATTGCTGGCCTAGCATGATCAAAGATGTTCATGAGTTTGTCAAGAAGTGTGACAAGTGTCAACGCTTCGCAATAGTGCCCAGACAACCACCCGATGAGCTCATCACCATCCAGAGCCCATGGCCTTTCTCCATGTGGGGGATCGACATTCTAGGTCCCCTATCCATGAGTCTGGTTCAGTGCAAATTTGTGATGGTAGCCATTGATTACTTCACTAAATGGGTAGAAGCCGAAGCCTTAGCCAAGATAACAGACCAGAAGGTGAAAGATTTCATCTAGATGAGCATAGTCTACTGTTTCGGAGTACTTCATGCCATAGTAAGTGATAATGTCAAATAGTTTGACAACAAATTCCTTAACAGATTCTGCGCCGACTTACAGATCAAGCAACCCCACTTCAGCCCTGCCCATCCACTGGTGAACAAGCAGGTGGAGGTTACCGTCATAACCATCCTCTGTAACTTGAAGACCAGATTGGAGAGTGCAAAGGGGCGATGGTTAGACGAACTCTCAGGAGTACTATGGGCTTATTGGAAAACACCAAGAAGCCTTACGGGTGAGACCCCTTTCTCCTTAGCAAATAGGGTACCGGTCGAAATTAGGGTACACTCCCTTAGAGTTCAACACCATGACCCTATCACTAATGAAGAAGGCCTTTGCATCAACTTCGACATGGTAGAGGAGGAGAAGGAGATAACCATGCTCAGAAATACAGAGTACAAATGTTGCATGACCAAGTACTACAATTCGAAAGTAAAGCCTCGCTCATTTTGGTCCAGGGACCTAGTCCTGAAAAAAGTCATCCTATCTACCAAGGATTCTCGGGAAGGGAAGGTAGGCCCAAACTAGGAAGAACCCTACATGGTCATAAAAGTTGTAAGACCAGGAACCTACAAAATTCAAAACTTTGAAAGGAAAGCACTGGCCCATCCGTGGAATGCAGAGCACTTGAAGAAATATAACTAATAGTTAGAGGCAAGTCAGTGGGTGCACAAGTCAGTAGCCATCATTTAGGTTTTAGTTAATTTTTGTTGTTATTTACTTCAAATTATGAAAATAAAATTTTGCAAGACTTTGTCTTTTTCAAAAGTTGTCTCTCATTCCATAGAAGTTCGTAAACCACTTACAAAAGTAAGACATCACCTAGTAACAAAATCAAAAAGATAAAAGTGTTACGCTCCAGACATCAATTATTGCTCTCCGATCCACTCCCATCAAAACTCTTCTCATTTTCATCAGTCTCTGGTGCCTGGTGCCTGGTGCCTGGTGCCTGGTGCCTCATAGGGGATGAAGCCAGAAAAGTCAAAGGCAGAAAAAGTTGTTGAGACCTTCCCCTTAAGTTCCTTATAACTATCGATAAAGGTGTCTACCATGGCCCTCTCAGCAGCATCCCTCCTATTCTCCATCTCAATAGAGTAAGCCTCTGTCCCGGTAACTCTCTCAAGAGCAGCTCGAAGGTCAGTCTATGCCACGACAGCCCTTTCCCAAGCTATCCGTAGCTCAGCCTCTGCTCTAGTAGCCCTCTCACAAAACACTTACAGCTCTGTCTCTGCTTTCAAGCAGACAACCTCTCTGTCAGCCTCTAACTGGGCAGCTCTTTTGCGAGATGCCAAAACCTCGGTCTCAAGGGGAGCAGCTCTCTCGTGCGCTAGCCTCAACTGCTCCTCGGTAGCCTTTCGTGCCTGCCTATTGAGCCCCAACTGTTGCTCAGCAATCTCTTTGTTGACAGATCTGTGAATGCCTCTCCAAGCTTCCTCATCTTTGAAAACAAGCAGGGAAAGGTGGCAGCCACCTACAAGCATGTGAAAAGTAGGACATGAGGGAAAAAAGGTGGGTATAAGATTGAAGATGAGTAAAAGGCAAACCATAGCAAAGCCCTCCATAGCAGTGTCAATGATGCCCTCTAGACCTTAATAACCGACCTTTTAGATCTCTGCAGCAGTCACAAACCCCCAAAGTCGCTCCTTAGCCAGATTCACATCCTATAACATAGATACCGAACCACTACTAGAAACAGGGCAGCTATGTGGAGCTCCATTCCTCGTAGGAGACCGCACTAGAGCCTCAATCCCTACAATCATACTAGGACTAGTTCTAGAATGTGATGGAGTCTCAGTCGGGGAAGGAGTGGGGGCATCATTGGGCCCCGTCTCTCGGGGGATGACATGACCAACAGACCTCAACTGAGAATTGATGAGGGCATCAAACTTTGCCCTTTTAGAAAAAAGAGGGGAAGATATCACCCTATAAGCATAAAGAGCCTCCATCATCGCTCTATTAACAGTGAAACCTTTGGAATTGGCATAATACAGAGCCTACAAAGTCATAACCTTCAAAAGTCAATTGGACGGGCTAAATACCTTTCCTCTTCTGCCTGGGGGATGCTCTGGGATGACCTGATGTAGAGATGATGGCCGAAAACTCTTTGAAGGGATGATCCCGCACGACTTAGAGCCTACTCTCCTGCTCTGCAGATAATGTGAGTGGAGTTGCAAAGGAACTGATCACATAGTAAGTATAGATACATGACAATCAGTCGTAAAAGCAAAAGTAAAAACCCTTACCTAGCTTGGTTCGTGGAGCAGTATCCCACCTTGAAGGCACTATAGGTTACGATCTCCCTTGGTGGCCCACTCACCTCCAACAAAGAAGAACTTAGGATTTCAATTGTGACAATTCAAGGTTAGTTCAGTAATAAGCTTGCTTGACCTCGAGGCAAAGCGGTACCACTCTTGATAAAGAGTAGGGTTATCCAAAAGTATGTACAATGTCAAAAACTCCTTAAAAAGGGGAGGAACATCAACACCGTGGGCCAACCGCCGTAGCAAAAAGAACACCAAGATTACCATCCAACCATTCGGGGTCAGTCTCCCCAAAGTGAGTGACAGGTGTTCCAGAATTCGACAGATGGGTTTGGGTATGGGAAACCTCAACCCTGCCTCAATACGTCCTCGTAAAAAATGATCTCTCCCAAGAAGTCAAACACGCCGGTTTATCCTTCTCGGCCCAACGGCACATAACAGTAGGAGGAATACGGTACGAAGATATAATGCGAGCGATATTGTCATCACAATCTATGGAACTAAATAAAGAGGATACCTTCGAATTGTCATACTCAGCAACTCCTTTGCCTCGCTGTGAAGCTTGCCTAATCTCCATTGTACCACCTTTGTCGGCTCGGGCACCTAACAAAACAGCAAAAGACAATGTAAGTAAGCGGGCGTCAAAATTAACAAAGTTTGACGACCAAGTTGTAGTTGAAAGACAGTACCTCGTTGCTCTCTAGGGTCCGCCATGCCAACAGACGACGTCCCTGTACCTGGACTTGTCCCTCGCCACCTTGCTCGTGTAACTAGCTCACCAGCACCATTGCCCATGGCGCTTGGCACGCTACTGGCACCGCCCAGAATGCTGTTGAAGTTACTGAGTCGCCCTCCACCATTGCCTGCTTTGCCAAGCTCGTGCCTATCACCTAGTCTGTTGCCACTAACACTGGCGACCTCCAATTTGTCATGAGGATCGAAACCTAACGTGCCCACCTTTCTGGCGCTGCCCGTGTCTCTGCTAGCGTCACCAAGACCAGCTATGGCGTCGCCGAGGCCAGTGTTGTGAAAATAGAACCTAGGCGAGAAGCGAAGCGAGCCTTGAACATCCAAGGCGAAGCGAGGTTAAGTAAAGTGAGGAAAAAACGAGCTTAAGCGACGAAGTGAAGAAGCGAGTCAGGCGAGAAAAACAAATGCCTAACTACAGTTTTTTTATTTTCTCCTCTTCCTCCTCCTCTAACATTAACCAAACTCTAACAGAGATAATGTTATATGCGTATATATATAAAATAAATTGATTAATTCGTATAACAGTATCATATGACAACATGTCTTATTATGATTAGATAATGTTGAATGTTTTGTTTTGATGTGAATGCTCTTGTTAATCAATTTATTTGGTTAATCAAATTAATTAATCAATTTACTATATGCTTTATTTGATTAATTAATTTGTGAGTGTTTTGTTTAGTGGTAATATTAATCAATCACGGTGGAAGTTGAACTCACATTTGTTAACGTTAGATTTAGATGACGTGATTATGTAAATTGATTATTTTTAGAATACAATATTGTTCAATATTAATATCTTGTCTATTTAAAATATGTTGATATTTATTATTTTGATTGCATTTAAATATTTTGTATTTGTAAAGTTAAAATTTGAATATTTAGGAGTAATCAAAGTATGAAACTAAAATATTTGCTTATTTTTTATATTGTTCACTTTGTTTCAATGAAGTGCTCGCTTCACTTCTCGCTTCTCGCCTAGGCCTTCAGGAGCCCGGTTCGCTTTGATTCACTTTTCGCCTTAAATAACACTAGCCGAGGCCCCTATCCACTCCAACATTGTCTAGGTTTTCCGACTCAAAGATGCCTAGCATAGTCGCAACGTTGCCCAAAGCGTTGGCCCCTCCCAACAACTCGCTGGTGTCGCCTAGCTCTTCGCTAACACGCCTAGGCCACCTGGCCTGTGCCAACGCCGCCACTTAGCCCATGCCATCGTTGTTGGAACAGCCAGGCCTGCGCCCACCTGCCCAGTGCGCGCAGCTGTGTTTGCTACTGGCTGGCGTCGTCCAGCGCCTAGTTGGTGCTACCCAGTATTCCAATCACGATGTCATCTCCCAGCTTGGCATCACCTTCATGCACACTTTCTCTCCCAGCGTTGCCGTTGTCACCTTGGGCGTCGCCTTTGTGGGTGCCGCCATATGGGTAAGAGGGGGTCGCTTGGGGCTTCGCCAGGCATGGGTAGACCACCCCCTGACCTTGATCCCACTGTGCCACCTTGCTTTGTCGTTGAAGCCTCCGTCTCCATCTTCTTTTGTGAAGTTCCTTGTGCTAGGGAATTGTTCAGAAGAAAGATGTGAGGGCGAAAGATGGAAGAATAGGGGTTATAAAAAATGGAAGGGCTAAAAGTACTTTCAAGGGTTTATAAATATTCTGGCCAATAGGCCAAGCCCTAAATGAAAAAGGGGTTTTAACTAATGGAAAACTCAATGGAGGAGATTGTATGCTACTGCAATCGTTGCCCAACCATGGAGTTACCAAGTGAAGAAGAGGGCTTCGCGATTGAAGAAAGGAAGAAGCCATCGTGCAAAACAAGAAACCTCTTTTATATGCAGAGCTCACTCATACCCTCAATCCCTTTGCAAGCAATCGGGGCTTAGGATATAGGGGCAAATGATGAGCCCAGATCCAGCTGGGTCAGGCCTAATTAATGAGATAAGCCTAAATTAGCTACAAAGCAGGTTCAGCTTAGTTCATAGGTTTGGCCCGGTCCAAGATTCAAGGAATCCAAGAAGATTAGCGCACGTGGGGAGAAATTATCGGGATAGCCACTCTCTTAGCTGAAGACTATCTTTAATTGTACCTATTCTTAGCTGTAGGTATCCTCCCCGATAGATTAGTCTCCTATCCCATCACGTTACCGTCTCAACCGAAGCTATGTGTTTATAAATTGTAAGTCCTCTCTACACATGAGAGAAACACCTTTTACACACCCGCATCTCTCTACACACCCTCTACACAGCTATCTTTCTCATAGCTACTTTGAGCTTCTCATTGTGCCCTCGCTCTCTCTTACACCTTCTACTTTATTAATAAAGTTCTTTGGTCATCATTGCAGCATTCGGAGTGGAGTAGTTTATCTTGACTAAATCACTATACATCTGTGTGTTGACCCAATCTCTGTCTCCTTCATTAATTGTCTTATTGATTGTTTCATTAATTATTTTGTATCATACACTAGACTATTGATTGTGCATAAGTCTATTTTGTGCATCATCACCATTGATTCTACATAGTACCAGCTGACGGTTGTAATCTCTATCTTCATCTATATAGTTTATTTCTCCGTAAGGATGAGTAACCCTGACCATTGGAACTCTCTTCAAAGACCATTTCTTCCTTTTCATTTTGTATTTTAGCTAGTAAATATAGTTAGACTAATAGAACAAGTTAATACATTTTGTAATAAATCTCTTCTGTAATAAAAGGGTAAAGAAAGTTCTGAAGACTAAAAATAGTTCTTGTTTCTGAGGTCAGTACTTACATTTTTCGCCAACCTAAAGGAGGGTGAGCACCTTGGCGGTCATTGAGAGTGGCAAAATAGTTCATTAGTTTGGTTGACAAAACCTGTAGATGATGTATCCGTCTTTGTGCATCAAGATTTAAATTCAAATTTCATGAAACAATTTCTTCTTTTCTTTTTTTTTTCCTTTTCATATGTGCGATGAGGTAATGATTTGCTTTCTGATGCCAATGTGATAATAAATTAAAAAGAAAAAAGGAAATGGTAGTTTAACGAATATCATGGAACATTTGAATGCACCCTTCATAATATGAGGACATGTTTTCCTTATTACCCAAATTCTTAAGGCTGGCCAACTCAAACTAGGCGGTTGGCATAATTCATGGCCAGGAAAAAATAATACGTCTTTTGTTCCATTCTTTTGTCTTTTGGCTGGAGTATAGGCAGTTGAATAAACACCCTCACAAAGGATTTGTTGTTTCTAGTATTTTCTCTCATATATTATCTTTCTTTCTTGGAAGGTGTATCCGACTAATGTGAGGGCAACAGGAGTTGGAATTGCAACTGCCGTGGGAAGAATTGGTGGCATGATATGTCCACTTGTAGCTGTTGGATTGGTAAGTGGTTGCCGTCAAACAGCTGCAGTTATTCTGTTTGAGGTTATGATACTTCTTTCAGGGCTGTGTGTTCTATTGTTCCCATTTGAGACAAAGGGAAAGGAATTGACTGACACTGTACATTTATCAGATGCAAAATAAGTTTTTATAGTCAATGATGGGTTTTATTCTTCCACAATTGTCGAGATTTGCTTACAGATTAGTACCCACAACAATGATACATTTTTGGGCTGATCATATATGTTTTGTGATGATAATATTGCTATTTTTATATACGAAGCAAATTTTCTTGAGTTCTGCTGTGCAGGAAATTATCCGTTCTCTATTCCTAAAAATCTTTGTTGCCTTACCTGGGAAACTTTTGTGGGCACTTACTATTTGTGATGTTTATTTATGTGTGTTCTCTATCTTTTTTTTTTTTTTTTTAATGTTTTTGTTTGGTCGATTCTCTATCTCTACTCAATAACAGCTTTATATAAAAACATGGACTCACCCCCCCCCCCCCCCTTCTTTTACTGTAAAAACGTGTTTACAAAACAGGAGAATTGACATATAAATATAGATGTAATCTATACTATTTGATTGGAGAGTTAGATTAGTAAGATTATTTCTCTGTACAGAATTTGTGTTTCTTAAGCTAATCAAGGTTTGGTTATCTCTACTTTGCTATTTATCCTTTCCCATACTGAATCAATTTGTATCATAGCAAAAACCCGATCCAGTGGCCTCTTTGCTACTCTAGTAGGCTACGTTACAATCGCTGAATCTCGAAGACGAAGACTTCTTGTAGGCTGTAGGCAATTTTTTTTTCCTTTGTTATCACTACGGTAGCTGCTAGTGCTGTGCTGCTATTGATCCAAGCCTGGAAGATTGCTGCTGCAAAACCAAAAAAAAAAAAAAATCAATTAGAGTCTTGGTCTTGCTGCTCGCATTTTGCTGTATCTGTAACTCCTAAAAATAAGATTATGAACTTATGAACTTATGAACTCAACTTGTAGGTTTTTTTTTTTTTACTATAGGTGTCCAGGTCGACTATTCCATTGAGTTCGAATATTAATAGGTTTAGAATATGTCGTGGCAAATAAAAGTTGTTGACCTTTAAGGGAATATAAAAAATGTTGAACCTGAAATCTATTGATTATCAAATATTAGGTTTAACCACTAAACCACTTCTAAGTATTCTAAACTTTAGTTCAAGAAAACGACTAATTGCCGCTTGCTGGATATTTAAAGTTTCAGCCCATGACGCCCAACTCCAATCAAGTCCAAAAAGCAAAGCCTTCTAATCACAATCACTAGATCAAGTTTTTGGGATTTGTCATTTAATTACTAAAATTCTTGAATATTTAAAATATTACACACAGATCTCTGAAATTTGTAGGCGTGTAATACTTAGACCCTTCTTTTAATGTCTGTTAAAATATCAGTTAATAAATTATACTCAGCCTCCCTGAAGTTTATAGACGTATCATACTTAGATCCCTTAAGTTTAAAATGTTATACTTAGACAAAAAATAATTCAATCAAAGATAAAATATCAAATATTTAAAATTTTATTAGCAAAATTCATGTTCGATTATGTCATTTATTAAAATAACATCAAAAATAAAAATCTATTTTTTTCTTTAAAAAATCCTAATTAGTATACAATTATTGTAGGCTCCTTCTTTCCCTTCAGCAATTTCCTGATTTTCCCAATCGACTTGCAACAATAGTACGTCCTGGCTCCAAGCTCAGAACTTGGGCATCGAGTGAATCCAACCTACGTGAAGTGAGGCGGTGATGCTCATCCATGAGCTTCTCCATCTGAGTGAGCACGCCCATAACAACAGACAATTTGGCAGACATGAACTTGGGACTAAACTCTGGTGGTGGTGGTGCACCGGATGTACTAGCTCGTCAGTGCATATAGGTGATGCTACTCTAGGTCCAGCCTCAGCAGGTGGAACATTCATCTTAACCTTCATATCCTCTCTCTCCCAGCCTCAATATCTACAACTTACTATGTTTGAGCCTTACTTTGTCTCAGAGAACTCTTATTCAGAGCCGTCTTGGGTATCTGCATACGGTCATTCACAAGATAACTGCACCGTGACCCTTGCAGATGTGAGTGATCAATGACCCCAAAGAAAGGTCATCCAACACTCTACCTTCAATTAAAATTGGCCGATTAACCCCAAGAATCAGCAGTGATAAATCAAGATAAACCCAGTCCTTAAAGCATGTAAAATGTATGCTCTCTAAACGATGAAATCTAAGATATGGCTTTTCAGATCAATGTTGTAGTTTGTGATCAGATTTAGCATTCTACAATCTTTAGTCAAGCTTTTATGGTAAAAATGCTGCTCAACCCAACTTGTAGGGTGAGGAATGCCATAAAACTCGATGGTAACATCAAAAAGATGAGGCAATTCATCTGTTAGTCTAGGTTCAAGGACATTATTCAACACCCTAGGAAGGCCAAGAGTGATAGCAATTAGAGTTGCATAATAACTAAATTGAATTCCACGAATGTATGTGAAAAAATGGTACGCATTGCGATCCAAGTCTCTAATGTGAGCATAGAAATCAAACACTATCTCCTCATTCACTGGCTCTGGAGAAAAGAAAAGTTGATTTCAACCAACCTTGATTAGCTAAATTCATCGGGATTAAAAAATCTCTTACCCCATTGAAGTTGACGCCTTGCTCAATCATGACTAGTTTATGGAAAAGCTCAACTCAGTACTTTTCCTCTTACTTGGGATTCTAAAATCGAGTGCTCTCATGGAACACAACATTGACTTCCTCCTCAACCACATTAACTCTAGACCTTTTCTCTGATCGTGCAGTCAAACTCAAAATTGATCGGTGTAACGAAGTCAAACTGTGTAAACCTTGTAGATCTAAAGTTGAATTGACACTAGGAAAACTATATGATGTGTTTTAGGGATGTGGGTAGGTGCTGGGCAAAGTGTTTACGAGACTACGTTTGCAACTGGAAGAGTTTTGGAATATGGCAGGGTTGTTAAAATTTGATATTGAAACCCTCGGGCCCACTGTGTTCATGGAGGTTGCTCTCCACTTGAGCGATCCATGAAGCTTAACAGTTCTACTGAGAAATCAACTTCCACCTCCTCTGAACCACCATGATTCCTCCTCTACTTGTCCAATCTACCCAAAAATCCTCCAAATGCATGCATGATGTGTGCAAATAATTAAAATCAACTAGATGCAAATGCACAAAGGAAAGTAGGATACAAAGTAATGTAATTTTTTAATTTGAAAATTACAATGCTCAAAGTCATTAATTATAAAAATCACACTAATTCATCATTTAATCGATCTATCCTTATTTCATTATCTCCATACATTACCCTAAGTTATATTAATGAATTCATAACTCAATTTTTATGCATCATTAGAGCAATTTTCACACTTAGTCTGGTTTCTACGATCAATCACACATGTTCAAATTTTGGCATTCTTTGATTAACTCAGTGTGTGAAGTGTGTAAAACCAAACCCCAACAATTAAAAATCGACTATATTAAATCATTCATGTAGCTCTACACAGGGCCAACTTGATTAAATGGGGCCCTATGCAGAAGTTTTAAATGGGGCCCTTTTAAAATTTATTATAAATATATTATATGATTAATATTTTACTTAAAAATCATTCTTCTTGCTTTTTGAGATGCAAATTTAGTGATTAAATTTTTACATTTAAATTTTGTTAATATATCATTTTCAATGGATAATAGGGCTAATCTATTCAATATTTCTTATGACATAGTAGATCATAAGTAATATTTTATAAGTTTTAATTTTGAAAAACTTGTTTCACCAGAAAGAGAGATGCCTAATACCATTGTTTTAATGGGGGTATGAGAGAGAGAGAGAGTTTCTTAAAAGCTAAAAGGAGTAAAATATTGATTAAAATGAGAAATATGGTTGGGTTTTTTGTTTTAGTTTGGGCCTTTTTTGTTTTAGCTTGGGTTTTTTTATGATATAGTTTTTTGGAGGCTAGTTCCTAGGCCCAATAGGATTCCAAAAAAAACCCCAATCACCAATTTTCTTTTGAATTAGGTCCCTGTTGAAAAGTTAAAGCAATAGATATAACTAATGCCTTTTAAAATTTACAAAAATAATTATAATGTCATCACTTAATTGAAGCGTATATTTTAAAAAGCTACATCATCATAATGTATCTTCTTCTCCATAACACAGATCGTTAGTTAGGTATACTAAAAAAATATACAAATTGTCAGAAATGTACACTAAAAAATAGATTGTCAGACAAGTACACTAAAAATATAATGTATCTTTTTTTTCCATAAACACAGATTGTCAAATCCACCTTAACATGACCTAATTTTAATATCACGAAGCAAAAAAAAAAAACCCTAAAAGCTAACCACCTATTATCAAACCTTCAAATTCAAGGGTTCAGAAGTATGTAACACTCACATCATATCATATACTACGAACAACATATACTATCATTCAAGTACGTTATACAAAATATACATCCACAAGATAGGTACATCAATATATTAATTGGAAGGGAACCATATTTTCCTAGCTTGC